TCAGGTTTGTTCAATGAACACTAGATCTCTTTTCTCTTTAGATTTGTCTATTTGAAAGTGAATTGAAGTTGCAAAATGGGAGAGGTACATGGTAGATCTCGATGAATTTTAACAAGAATGACAGACCTGCCAATATAATCGAAACATTATTCAATACCAAATTCAAAATAACCAATTTGTAACTATTTAACATTAATAAATCCGGATCTCCTACGCAACAGTGGAACCCTCTAATCTAGTGGATCCAATTTAAAAAATGCTAAGGCTGAATAAAAAACCGATCAACTTGGATCTAGGGTTTTACCTTGCAGATTTTACGAGATTCAGAGCTTCAAGGATGTGAGAGCTAATGAATAGGAATGGCAACGGGCCGGGGTGGGGTCGGGATTACACTCCCCATCCCTGATCCCTGAAGGTAAAAAAATCCCCATTCTTGATCCACGGTAAAGAACCCATCACCCCTCCGTCTCCGCCCCCTAACAGGGATCGGGTTTCCCCAATCCTAAAAAATGCCCGACCCAATTTTTTATTTTTATTTTTAATGTTGCATATCTCCTTTTGCAATCCTAAACTCAGATATACCATCAAAGTGCAGATGATATTCAACAGATTCGAGAGAGAGAGAGAGAGAGAGAGCTTTGTTTACATTTTTTTCAAAAAATTAAAAATTTCAACAATAAAAATTGTACCTAACTTTGTTAAAAGTAGTGGTTTAGCTTGGTCGTAGAGAAAATGTAGAACTATGGCAATTAAATTAAAATTCTTGAAACCTAGATTTTTCATTTAGACTTAAAAAAAAAGAAAAAAAAAAAAGAAACACCCTCAAAGGAAGAGAAGAAGAATAAATTAACAAATACAAAAGTCAGAATTGTACCAATTTCATTTTTTTTTCTCTACTTTTTCACCAATCAAAAGTTGGGTTGGGTTACTAGTAAATTTGTAAGAAAGTTGAAATTCAAGAGACAGATTCAAACAAACCCAGAAAATGATTGAGGCACCAAAATGGCAAAAAAATAAAAAATAAAAATGAATCTAGGAATCAAATAAATGTCATGCAACCAAAGAGATAGACAAAACATCATAAAACAAACAAAGAACAAAGAACGCGCGCGCACACACACACACAACAAAAAAACATCGAAATTGCTTAACCTCACATACAAAACTCGAACATGCAACAAAATCAGAAACAAATCTGAACGTTAACCCACAAAAACCCAAAAAACTAATCACATCACCTTTAAGTTGGGAGCAAAAATCCACATTTATCCTCATTCTGCCCCTCCATTATGCCCAAAATCACACAAAATTGGAACAAAGACTAAACTTCCCAAATCAAGCCCGAAAGATTTCAAAAAAAAAAATGGAAAATGTGCTTACCAAGCTGAGAAGAATATGGAAGAGAATCAAAATCAAAAACAAATATACGTATGTATGCATGTGTGTATCATAGAGTCGATATTTTGATTTGCAAACCCTAGTTTTTTTAGCCATGAGAGAGAGGCGAGCCGCCATAACCGTAAGAGAGAGGGAGAGTCGGTGAGGGAGAAGGAAGACGTTGGTGAGGGAGAAGGTAGATGCCGGTGAGGGAGGAGTGACATCGACGGTGAGGGAGGAACGGACAAGCAGTGAGGGAGTAGCAACAGGGAGAGGCGATGTGTATGTGTAAGTGTGAGCCTAACCCTAAATTGAGTCAAAAAAATAGAAAAAAAACACACATATATAGAGAGGGGTATAATAGTAATTTTATTTTGAAAGAAAATGAGAATGGGGACAGGGTCAGGCTGGGGATAGGGATGGGAAACGTATCACCGTCTCTAGGTCAAAAATTATCGGGAATTCATTTTCGAATACCATCCCCGGCCCCTTAAGAGTATTTTTGAGGAAAAAATCGCTCAAATCGGGGTCGGAAGGCAAAGTCCCTATCGGGTTGGGTTCAAATTGTCATCCCTAATAATGAATACGAAGAAAACCCTAGATCTAAGAAACTTTACCATTTGCAAAACCTTAGGGCACTTGAATCGTTAAGGTTCGTAAGTTAGAAATAGCCGTACCACCGAGTCGGCATCGAGTTCGATGGCAGATTTGGAGGTGGAGCTCTGAATAAGGCTTTGCTGGCAGTTTTAAAGAGAGAGGGTTGTCGGCAGACGAAGCAAAGCTTTTCAATCACAGTGGCGTTAGAGGAGGCGATGGCTTAAAAGACATCGGAGGAGGAGGCGAAAAGAGAGAGAGAGAGAGAGGTAGGGTTTTGGTGAGTACCGTGTATATGTTATATATAAGAGATATTTTGGTTATTGTGTCTAAACTTATCCTTTTGGACAATGTATTTCAGCACCTGAGTTGTTCAACCAAACAAATTCAAATTTGAATTTTTCGACCGATTGCCCTATATAATATTAGATTACCACATTTAGGCATCACATTTGTATATTATTTACATCATTTCATATTGCACTAATCAAATTATCTCTACTAGGTCTTATATTTTATTTAGAAAGTATTAAAATTAAAATTTTGTGTCATATAAGGAATCATATAAAATGTCACGTGATATCCAAATATGTTACTCATTACTCATGACTCTATTTCCAATACTTTTACTATCTTCTTATACCCTTTAACTCTGTTCCACCAAGTTACCTTTATATATTATAAAATACATCAATAAGCACTTTTTTTATTTTTTTTGGTTAAATGATTGTATGAGTTTAATTTTTATTTTATTTTATCTTAACAGGTAATGGGTTTTAAAATTTAGAATTTTTTTAATTTTCTTACTATTTTAGGTTCTTTAGATTTTAATTTCATTAGTTGTGTGCTTTTAAAATTAGTACAAAACAAAGGCCATATTTGTTTTTCAAATTAGGAGTAATCAAAATATGAATATGGTGAAATGGAGTGATCGGATTACTAGTATGGTAGTATTAGGTTGTAAATCTAAGCTAAATTATGTTTGCTTGTCGACAAGTGTGGTAATATTAATTAATAAGACTAAATTTATAAAATTATGCTTAAGGTTTCATTATATAAAAAGCGATTATATTATTTTTGTAGAGTGGGGCTACAAAATCTTTTTATCATTCATTCTCATATGATTAGATTAGTAATCCCAAGTTCTCCACAGGAAGCCTAAGCACATTCTCGAAGAAATTTCATAGTCTAATGGGACTCTTACCTACGAATGTGGGGATGCTGCTGTGCGGGCTGCACAATAGTGGCTGTTGTGCACCTTGTACAATAGCCATCCCAAATCCGGTGATGTGAGGGCTAAGTGAGCTCATTTACCGGCATTAAAGGGAAAAAAAAATTTGTAAGAGGAATAACATTTTTTATCATTTTAACTTTCACTTAAATTCTACTTTGTTCTTTCATATTTTAATTTTCACTCAAATTTTGAATGGTAAGATAATGGGAGGACCGTTTTCAAATACCAGTTGAAATTTGGACGTAATTATTACAATTAGAAGATGAGAAACCAAATTGAAATCTAAGTGAAACTTCAAGGGTGGAAAATGTATTTTTACACTACTTTTTATTAATAACATTGAATTTGAAAAAAAAGAAAAGAAAATAAAAGACGTTTCTATACACGTTGAATATAAATAATTGCAAATGTTTGTTAGATACCAAAAAGATAAGAAGGTTGTTGTATCTACGAGACGTTTAATACTAATGTTGGCCAACATTTTTTTTTCTTTCAACTTGAACTCTAATGCTGTGTTTGATTAAGGGATTTAGAGAGGGATTTGGAATGAGAAAAGGAAAAAATGTGTGAAACTAGGTGAAATATAGGTATATTTTGTTCACATTTCACCTAACTTTTTCCTTTTCCTTTCCAAATCCCTCATCAAATCTCTGAACCAAACACAGCGTAAATCTCTAATATTCTGATCATCTCAAGAAACAATCAAATGGACTACTAGACCAATTACCTGTCCAACTCATCTATCCTTATTACATCGTTTTTTTAATCTTATAGTGGCAATGTGAAAATTCCTATAATTCTAGTTGCACATCATGAGTTAATTATCAAATGAAATCCATATTAACAAGTGAAAAAATATTGGAAGTTCTAAATTAAGAGCTCTAATAGTTTTAATTGGTGTGTGGATCCCCATGTGATGTGATGTTTTAGCTTCGTTTTTTTTCTTTATTTATTTATTTATTTATTTCTTGATTTTCCACATCATTAGTACTATTTTAGAACTCTCGAATTAGAGGAATATATCATTTCTATTAATAAGTTATTATTGTCTTGATTTGATCTAAACTAGTATTTAGTTTATGTAGAGTTTGCATTTTCTTAACAACAACATTGGATAAAAAAGATGGTCAATTTTTTTTGATCGACAAAATAAAATTTTATTAAAAATAAAGGAAGGTTACAAAAACAAAGCTGGGGGATAATGCATCAAAGTTGAAAGATGAATCCCAACCAGGTTAGCACCAAAAGCAAGTAAAATCATATGCAGGCCCAACAAAAATAATGATAGATGGTCATTTTGATAATTGTCGTGTGTACCATTGTAGTTGAAACAGCACAATACCAAACTACCATTCTCACTTTGCAACCAAAGATAAATATATATGAACAAATTACATAATAATCAACAAGGTACCTCTCAAGCCTGGTATACAACGAGTGCAACACATGTCCATCCAGTTCCAACATCAATTAAATAAATTGATAGTTGGATTGGTTTAGAAAAGTAGAAGCAAGATGGATAATAAGAGCAGCAAAGCTAAAAGATGGAGGGTTCTCAGAGGTGAAGACAACTGGAATGGCCTGTTGGACCCTTTGGACAATTTTTTTTTGATTGGCAAAAAGAAAACTTTATTGATTTAGAATCAAGGTGAAACCTTACATCAAACATCAATAAAGGTGCAAGCAAAAAAAATAAGACACTTGAAAAATGCTATAAGCATCAAAGCGGAGGCTACCATCCCAACTAGGTTGGCACAAAACCACAGCCAAATCATATGCAGCGTAATCCAGCCAACTAGTTGATGAGAACTACAACCAATTGAACAACCACCATAAGAAGTCAAAACAACACCAAAACAAAAGGCCAAAGCCACAAGCAGACCAGCACCTACCAAAACTCTGCAAGACCAATGAACCTCAGCAGCCCATGATACAATTCAACTTTAAGACTATATCATTAAAAGAAAAAGGCATACCTTTACTGTGATACTTCACCCAAAGAGCTATGTTGATTTTGATAACATCCAATATACTCAACCAATGGAATCTCTTCCCCTCAAACTTGCATGCATTCCTAGCTTTCCAAACATTCCAGATTATTGCAGCAGGAGCAGCCTCCCAAACCAATTTACTGACCCCTTTGAATTTAACTCGCTCCCACAAAATCAAAAGATTGTTGATAGACCCAGGTAATGCCCCTTGAACTCCGATCCAAGCCAAAATCTCAGCCCATATTCTCCACACTCCTTCGCAATGAGTTACCACATGATCCCTAGATTCGACTTCAGACCCACAAAAAGTGCACAAGGTGCAAGTGTTCTGATCCAATACACCCATATCTTTTAGTAACAGAGTAGTTTTGAGCTTAACTTTCCAAGCCAACCAGCTGATAAATTTCATCTTAGGAGGGGCAATGTTCTTCCATAACAAATCAGGTGACTTAACCCAGTGTTAAGATTAAGCCACTCATATACCTGTTTAACAGAGAACAAATCTGATGGAGTAGCAGTCCACCTAAGGCAATCAACTTCAGAATTAATAAGCACAAGAGCAGACTCCAACAGATGAAGAAGATGGGCAACCTCTTCCAACTCCCAAGAGAACAAACATCTTCTAAAATTCAACTTCCACTCCCCTAACACAGCCCTGTTACTATTAATGTCCTGCACTGATCCACCATTCTCTTCTGATAGCAGGAATAGCCTTGGAAACACCAACTGTAAACAGATATTCCTCAACCACCTATCTTTCCAAAACAGAGACCTTCTTCCATTCCCAATCGTGATACTCAAACTTGATTGAAAGAAATTGCACAACAGTGGATTGCTTGAAGCCACTGAAAGGATGCCATTCCAAATTCTAGAAGCCCTGAGATTTGACTCAGATACTGGTGACCAAATGCTACGATTATGATAGTACTTACTGCATAAAACCTCTTTCCAAAGGGCCCTTTGGACATTGATCTTCGAGGGTACATTATTCACAATAAAGAAATGGCTCAAGCTACTTATGCAATGGCGACTCTAGAAATTTAAGTCAGCGGTGTCAATTGAAAGGCAAAAATATCTAACGAAAACAAAAAATATATATTGTATTTTATATTATAAAATATTTTAAAGAAAAA